TCCCACCCAAATGTTTGGAATACCCACTGTTTTTCACAGCCAGATGTTGTGGGGATCCTCTTCCTGGCACCCGTACTCTGGGCTGGGGAGCCTGGGGGAGCCTGGGGAGCTGCGGTCATTTACTCCTTTGGGGGCAACCTCTGTGGTCGAGATATCCCTCCTGATTCTGAACCACCACATGGAGTTTTGGGGTTAGCCAGTTCTATGTCTCTGCCCCTCCTACCAGTCTCCAGATGGCTTTTTTTTTCCTTTTTTTTTTTTTGTTATAGGGCTTCTGTTTAGCTAGACTTAAGATGGCTCTCCAGGTTGATTGTTCTAAATTTGGTTGTAATTTTAATGTATCCTTTTCTTTGTTGTTTTAGAAAGGTCATCACCATGTCTAGGTTATATAAATATTTGCTCTAATATTTTATGATTTCATTTTTTATCTAGAAATATTTTGGTATTTAACATAAAGATTCATGGATGGCACTCTTTCCACCTTTCCAACACTGTTAAGGATTTATTATTTTTCTCATGTCATTTCAATCAACTGAATGGGATTTGATAAAGAGAGGAGGTAAAAGCAAAGCTTAGCCACAACCCTGAACAAGTGTCTTACATGATCTGTTAAGGTTTTCTACTTCTTTAATATATTTTGGTCATATATATCTTCCTAGAAAATTTATAGAATCATCCATTTTTCTTTGCTATTAGCCAAGATTTTTACAAATTTTAAAAAATTATGCAATCCCAGTTTTTTATGTATTTATCTTGCTGCTCATTTCTTAAATTTTAAGATTAAGCTAATTAATGTTTTTCTCACTAACAAAGGCATGTTCATTTAACCACTAGAATGCTAATTTATTTAGTTGTAAGTAATTTAAAACATTAAAATGGATATATTTTGGAATAAAATGCAAAATATCACATCATTTATTTTAAAAAGGATAAAAACTCAAGGAAATGTGCTTTTGGTGGAACCCAGAAACACAAGTAGAGTAAAGTGGTAGTTTCCAGGGGCTGTGGATTGGGGAGAAATAGGGAGATATTAGTTAGAGGGTACAAACTTCCAGTTATTAGATGAATAAGTTCTGGGGATCTAATGTATAGCATGGTGATTATAGGTAATAATACTGTATTATATACTTGAAAGTTGCTAAGAGAATATATCTTAAATGTTCTCACCACAAAAAAAATAAATAAATGGTCATTATGTGACATGATGGAGGTGTTAGCTAATGCTACAGTGGTAATCATTTTTTCACTAAATAAGTGGATCAAATGAGCAGTACACCTTAAACTTACACAATGTTATATGGCAATTATATCTCAATGAATCTGGGGGGAGGGAGGAAAAAAAGAAGGCAACAAAGGAAAACAACTAACAAATCTCTAACATTATCTGTTGAACCCAAACTGTGATCCCCCATGGGGACATGCTCTTCGACAAGTCTTTTAGTTACTCAGAAACTACCCTTTTATGGAGGGATTCCAGGATGACTGGTATTTATTCTTACTTCTGCTCTCTAACAAAGAGTTTACAGTAGGAAAAAAAAAGTGCTTTTGGGAGACTAGAAATAGGTTGACCCCCTGCTGTTTTCTTTGGTGATGGACTCGTAATAAAATCAACTAACTAGTAATGGTGTATCTATTTGATTTGCTTCTTCAGAGAATTTCTTAGATTTACTTAACAATTTTATTTTTCTGTCTGTTAATTCATTGTTTGCTTTTATCATTTTATTTTATTTTTTAAAGATTTTATTGGGGAATTGCGGGAGGGGAACAGCACTGGGGAATCGGGAAAGGGGAACAGACAAGTTGCTGTCCTTTTGTTCTTCAGTCTAGTTGTGGAGGATGCTGCTTCACTGGCCCATGTTGGTATTGTGATCATTGAGCTCTTCCAGCTGAGGCAGATCGGCCACTGGCCATTGGACAGCCACTCATGGTGGCTCACAGCAGCTCTCACCGGCTGTCGGCCACTCACGCTGGCTGCTGGCCACTCACAGTAGCTTATGGCAGCCCACTGCAGCCCACTGCAGCCTATGCCGTCGCTGGTGACTCATGGCAGCCCAGATCCAGATCGAGCTGTTGTTCACCATCTTAGCTGAAGAGGGCACAGTGTCACTGGCCCATGAGGGAATTGAACCGGGGCCCTGTTGCTCAGAGCTCGCGCTCACAAGCCAACTCTTGACCAACTGAGCCACTTGGCCAGCCCTGCTTTTATCATTTTATATTTAGCACCCTGCTTCCCTCTTTTTCTGTTGTCCTACTTGTTTGAAGGCCTAATTCATTTATTTTTACTTTTAATTCTTTGGTATTTAAGGTCTTTGAGTATATAAATTTGACCCTGAGTTCATTCACATAGTACACAGTAAATCAAATATCATTAAACTGGAGCTTGATAAGAATGCAGTTTCCTGAGCACCAGTTATTTTGGTAGGTTTGTAGTGGGGCCTAGATTTATGTATTTTTTTAACAAGACCCTCAGAACACACATAGGAAAATCCCATCATAATTATTGATGTATATGTTCTCATTATTACTTTTCTAAATTCACTCTAATAAAAATTTTGATTTGCACTTTGTCCCCAAAGTGTGTAATTCTATGTTAATTTTCAAGTGGTTGACTTTTTCATTCACACTTTCATTAATATCAAGGTTTGTTCTATTGAATTCAAATAAGATAACTTGTGAACTGTTCTTATTTTTTTATTTTTTGGAAAATTAAAAATCCCCCCAAACACAAGTGTATTGTAACAAATACTCATATCCCTATCATCTAGAATTAACTATTGCTATTTTGCCATATTTGCCATATTTTGCCATAAAGATGAAATATGTTTTTACAGATCTAACTCAGTTTCCTTTTAGTCACTATCCTGTGCCCTATTCCATTTCCTCTTCCTCATTGATGTAAGTTTGGTATGAATCATTCTAGTATATTTCCAAAACCTCCACATACACAAGAATGCATCTATAAATACCATAGTGTTATGCTAATTAATTAGGTTTTTAAGATCTGTACATATTAATATGTTTTGACCTAGTTCATTTCTTTTATGTTCTGTATTTTATTAATCATATAAATTATACTGTATTAATCCATTCCCCTATTGATAGACATTACATATTCATTTTTTTATCTTTTTGAGATTTATTAAGGTTTTTGTGGTCTACTTACTTTCAAATGCTGTTAAATACTGGCTGGATACTGGGATGGAATAGTATTTTCTGTACATTAGAGTTAGAAATTTATAACTTAATGAGTTAAATAAAATATATGACAAGTTTTCTTTTAAAAAAAGAAATTTATATATACATTTGAAATTATTTGTTCTATTATTCAAGTTCTACATCTTTATCTCTCCTACTTTCTGTAACTAAATTAGGTAAATATGTTAATGTCTGATACTACTATTGTGCCCCTGTCAGTATCTACCTATAATCTCCCTCCAAATGCCTTCTGATTTTTAAAAAAAATTATAAATGCAGTGCATACTTATAAAATCCATTAAAAAATCTAAAATTAAAGAGAGAAAGGAATAGTTGTTCATAATTTCAGCACTAAAGTATCATCACCAGTAACATACTAATGTATAGCATTCTACATTTCTTTTTACACATACACTTAAAGACAGTTTATCTTTATAAACTGTTTCAAATAGTTTTAAAATAAACATATACTTATTGTATTTTTTGGTATTGAAACTTACAGACTTGTATAATTTCTACTATATATAAATACTTAGCTGAAAGTGACAATACTCTGCGATTTCCCTAGAACTACTGTTTATTTCATATATACCTTAAAGATACTTTATATCTTATGAATTAATCACTCGTTTTTAAACATAGTGCATATTATTTTATTGTATGGCAATATCATAACATATTTGAGCAATCTTGTGTAAACGGACACTGATTATCTTTTAAAGTAATTTTTTGAAAATGCTGCAGTGCTTATACATTTTATACATCTATATTTTTTGCATCCTTATCCAATTATTTTCATAGGCAAGGTCTCTAAATGAGGTATTTCTAAAGAGAGGTGGAAAGGTTAAAATGTCGATTTATATTTTCAAATTGCCTTATGATTATAACTTACACTTCACTTACACTTCAATTGGCATGAGAGTGCATCTTCTCAGCTCTCTATAAGGTTTATCATTTTTCATCTTTGCCAATGTAACAAGGCAGAATTATAATTTCATTGTTTTAATTGGTATTTTTTTAAATTACAGGTGAGCTTAATCATCTTTTTATATGCCCTCTGACCATTTGCACTTCTTTTGTAAAATGTATGCTTCTGCACAGTCTTCTCCCATTCCTTTATTGGGGAATGTTAATCTTTTCCTTTATGCTTTGTTCTTTATTTTTCACTTTTTGTCTTTACATGGGGACAGTTCGATTCAGGCTTTCATCCTTTCACTGCTAAATGGACTTCAAATACATATATACATACACACACACAGACACACACACACAC